TACATGCTCCCTGTTCTCAGGGAACACACACGCACAGCGCCAGGCCTCCGGCAGTCACGTTCAGCAGTCAGACCGCGCTGTGATGTGACTCAGGCCAGAAACTGTGGGCGTGGTCGGGGCAGGATCCCAGCAGTCACTCGGCCCCTCAGTCCACAACCTTTCTGGCATCTGAGGCCTCAGGTCACAGAAACAAGGTTCCCAAAACTCAAAGAATGACAGGTATTCTCAGAACTGACACCAAACACTCCACACTCCACACTCCTCTTGGCCCCAAGGAAATTCAGGTCAGATTTGAGAAAACAGAAAACGTGTTTCTGAGCGGAGGCAGCTCACCCTGCCCGCACCCACGGGTGGTTACATCTTACATCGCCTGCATCTCCAGGTGCCTTGGGTCGACCCCGCAGCGATCACTGTACGGACAGGGCTGCCCCACTGGCCCTCCAGCCAGTGTCCTGTCACTAAGGCTCTGCTCCTCCTTTGCAGCTCCCAGTCCCCCCGTGAGCGCAACTCTCCTGTGCAGACCCGCAGCGCGTGGAGCTGGCTTCAAGTAAGAGCGGTGGGAAGGAAAGCAAGAGCACGCCTTTAAAACCACCACGTGCGAATCCAACAGGAGCCAGCTGTGAGCCGACCCCTGGGAACGGGAGCCTGAACCGCAAGAGGAAAATGAGTCTTCTCAAAGAGCGGAAGCCCAAAAAGCCGCATTATATCCCCAGGCCTCCGGGAAAGCCCTTCAAGTACAAGTGTTTCCAATGTCCCTTCACCTGCAATGAGAAGTCCCATCTCTTCAACCACATGAAGTACGGTCTCTGTAAGAACTCCATCACCTTAGTCTCGGAGCAAGACCGTGTCCCCAAGTGCCCCAAGTCTAACCCTCTAGACCCTAAGTCCACGCATCAGCCGGACCCCCCGGTGAAGCCCGCCGCGTCCAAGTCTGTCCCACACAGCCTCCCCCACTTGGACACCAAGCTCCCACTCGGCCTGGCCAAGGATGATGCCAAGGAGAACCTGGAACTGCAGCTGCGGGGGCCCCACAAGGGCCCTGGACAGAAGCCTGCTCTCCACAAGGAGGCCGAGCACCGGGGTCCAGCCCCAGAAGCCACGGCGGGCACCCCGCCTGCTCTGGAAGGCGTCGTGCGGCCGTCGGCCTTTGTTCCTGTCGGAGAGCACAGACTCAAAGGGCCAGAACAGGCCGAGGCTCCCGAGGCCCTGGCACTGCCCAGCGCCACCGCCAAGGCCACCACTTTCCACACCAAGTCTGCATTCCACGCCCCTGCCTACCCCTGGAAAGCTGGCTCGCCTTTCCTCCCGCCCGAGTTTTCACATAAAATCCCTCCCACGAAGGGGTTTGGGGCCCTTTCCCCTTACATGCACCCCACAATTCCCGAGTACTCGCCCCACTTTTACACGGAGCATGGACTGGCCACCATCTACTCCCCCTACCGACCGGCCGGGAGCTCGCCCGAGTGTGACACCCCCCTGCTGTCAGTCTTCGGGGCCCAAGACCAAAGACACTTCCTGTCTCACCCCGGGCCGATGCCCAAGCACTTGCACCCGTCCCCCCTGACGTACGACCATTACCGGTTTTTCCAGCAGTACCACCCCAACTTGCCAATTCCTTATGGATTCTACAGACCGGAGTCTGCCTTTTCCTCCTACGGCCTCAGACTCCCGCCCGTCCCTGGTATTTCACAGGATCAGAGCTCTCACCTGCTGGAAGAAGCTGCCCTGGTCTACCCAGCCTCCAGTCCATCCAAGTCAAACCCTTCCCACTCCCACAAAAAACACACGGAGTTTGAGAAAGAGAGTCCGACTGCCGAGGCTGAAGACCCTTCCAAAGACAGGCAGAGGGACACAGAAGGGACCAAGATGAGCCCACGGGCAGGCAGCGCGGCCACGGGCTCCCCGGGAAGGCCAAGCCCCACCAACTTCACACAGACAAGCCAGCCCTGCACTGGGCTGGGCGACCTCTTGGACAAGCCCACGGCGAACGCCCTGGGAAGGCTCCAGCAGCCAGAACGGAGCCTCACAGCCTTCAAGCCCATCCAGAAAAGCACCGAGCGCCCAGACTCCCAGGCTCCAGAAAACAGAGACGACCCTCCACAAAGGTAAGGACGTCTCCTCTTCAGAACCCCCACGGCGTGTCTCTGGCTGTGCTCAGTTAGCAAGGTTAGACTCCCTCTAAAAGAGTCACACAGCCCTAGCCGGGTGGCTCAGTGGATAGAGCGTCGGCCTGCGGACTAAAGGGTCCCGGGTGATCCCTGGTTTGATTCTGGTCAAGGGCACATGCCCGGGTTGCAGGCTTGATCCCCAGTAGGGGGCATGCAGGAGGCAGCCAATCAATGATTCTCTTTCATCATTGAAGTTTCTATCTCCCTCTTCCTTCCTCTCTGAAATCAATAAAAGTATATTTAAAAAAATAAATAAAAATAAAATGAAAGCTTCACACGGCAGCTCTTCTACATAACGTCCCTGCTAAGCCTTCTCTTCTCTTTGCCTCTTCCAGTCTCGATGCCATGGACATCGACACTCCGGCCCGGGCAGGAAGCACCTCGCGAGGCATGGAGGCCCTGCCGCCCAGCCCAGAGGACGGCTCCCGGATAGCCCCGCTGAACCTCTCCAAGAAACCGGAGGCCAGACCAGCAGCAGCTCACGGCCCCCTGTACGCAGACTTCCCAGAGCTGCAGGACGTGCCTCTCAACCTCTCGGTGAAGGACCCCTGCAATGCCCTGACCCTGCGGCCTTCCCCCCACAGCCCAGCGCCAGAGGCGGAACCTGCCACTGCTACTGATCAGAAGACCGGGCCGGAAGGTTCTGGAGATGGGCCAGGACATACAGAGACGAACCAAAACGGCCTTGGCTCTGAAGAAGTTCCAATGACCAGCCCCACTGGGAAGGCCCAGGACACACGGGCCGTGGACAGCAGCGACGAGCAGAAGCAGACGGCAGCCGTGGCCCTCTGCCAACTGGCAGCCTACAGCCCGGGCACCGTCCGGGTGGGCGATGGGGAGCCTATGGCCCAGGAGTCCACCTGCCCACAAGACACGCCAGCTCTCAGTGCCGCGGCGAGCCAGGAGCCTCCGAGTGACCTCAGACCCAAAGGGCAGAAGAGGACCAGCCCCCGGGACTCGGGGAAGCCCCAGCAGGGAGCCAGGAAGACGAAGCTGAGCGGCACGGCCAGAGTGCTCACTCTCCGGAAGAGGACTCGGGTGTCCTAGCGCTGGCTCCCGGCAGGAGGCTGGGCACAGCACACTCTGAAGCAGGTCGCAGGGCAGCACATCCGCCACGGCCCTGCATTTTTTATCTGGTCCATTTCTACAGCAGTTTTTTCTTCTCAGAAAACAAAATACACATAAAGAGAAAAAGAAAAAAAACACACAAAAAGCTACGATTCAGCTCACTTTTTGTAAATATTAAGCATGAATATTATAAGGTGCTTCCGCTTGGGACTGTAAAAATATTTGAATGACTCATACTCTAAGACTGATGAGTTAGACACTGGCTTTTATTTTTATAATAAAATGAATGAAATAGGTTGGACTAAAAGGTAACTTTCAGGTATAAGCCATGTCATAGGAAATCTTTTAAAAGTACTTTTCTTATAAATACAATTCTTACACTAGAACAAATGGTCTCAACTGTATCATTAAATCTACTGTGTTGTGAAGTAACAATGACTAGAAATGCCAGGAGCAGCATTTTCAGCACCAGCATTAAAGTGCTGAGGACATTGTGACTTGTTGTGAGTAAATAAGACACAAACATCAAGAGGCTATTTATAGAAATAATTTATTTCCAGGAGGGAAAGTGTATTACTGGTGGAGCTATTATCAATATAGTCCATTCCATATAATGTTACAGTGAACTTTCTGATTCATGCAGCCTCACTTTCCACTTCCTAAAATGATGTATATATTGCCAATTTTCCAATAAACTCATAAACTTTAAGAGGACACAAAATGGAGACAAATGTGAACTCTGTGTTCTATTTTAGAGTATTCTGCCATAATAAACTCAGTGAAAAAAGAGACTAGAGCTGAGGCAACAATTAAAACAGAATGAGAGTGAGTGTGAGTGTGTGTGCACGTGTGAGCGTGCGAGTGCACGTGCAGCCCAGTGGGCACCAAGCGCAGGCACGACCCACCTGGCTCCTCTGAGCCTCCCCCAGGGCCCTGGGCCTCGGAGCGCTGCAGGAGGACGAGCTTCCAGAGCCTGGCTTCCTAAAGGGCTGCTGAGAAGGCCAGCGGGCCTTCGAGCTCCTCCTCCCCAGGCTCTTCACAGCAGCCCTGTTTCTCCCACGGGTACCCCACCTGAGATGTCAACAAAGGCCCTGGAGAGGCATGTGGTGCTGAGGTGGATTCACTCCAGGGACTCGGGAGGAAGTCCTCGACCAGGCAGGTGGTGGTCACCAAAATGCAGGTCCAGTGACGTCAGAGGACAAACTGCTAAAGCAAGAAAGCCATTCCCAACCACCTGTGTATGTACAAGGCTTCTCAGCACAGAGCTAAAAAATAAAATTTTTTAAAGAAAAATAAAATGTGTATGTAAAACCTTGCCTCATCCTAAGAGATAGCCTGAACTACCCTGGCCGGGTGGCTCAGTTGGTTGGAGCATCGTCCCATGCACCAGAAGGCTGTGTGGGTTCCATCCCCAGTTGGGGTGCATGCAGAGGGCAACCGATCAATGTTTCTCTCTCACATCAATGTTTCTCTCTCTTCCCCTTCCTCTCTCTCTAAAATCACTAAAAACATATCCTCAGGTGAGGATTAAATTAAATTAAATTCCCCAGCAGGGAGAAGCAGCAATTAGGAAAGAGAAAGGCCCATATAAGAAGGAAGGTGAGCGAGATCTAGCACATTCTCTCCTACAAACACTGCCCGTCAGTGAGGGCACAGGCCTGGTTGTGGGCTCACACAGGCCATGCTGGGGAGATGGGGAGAGACGAGGCACCCACGTCTACAACAGTCCTGACGATTCAAAGCAAACGTACAGCAGGTACTCACCGTCCGGGAGTCGGGGAGGGAGCAGCAGGCCCCTTCTGCCCAGTTCTGCCAGCGCCAGACATCCCCCATGCCAGGCGTTGTCCGTCTCCTGGAAACTGAGAGCACACAGAACCGTGAGACCACAGCGCTTTCTCCAGGCCCCGTGTGCAGAAGTCCACACCTGATGCCCAGAAGCCTCACCAAAGCCCACCTGTAAGTTTAAAACATCAGCAGATACAGGAAATGCAATACTCCAATTTCACTGGGGAGCACTCGGCTGCTGCACTGGGAACCACAGCCCAGCTACAATCAGAGTTCATAGAAATGACAAAATAAAGGCAAAGGAGTATTTGAGCTTAAACTCAGGAGGACAAGAGAAGCTACACTAAGACTGCTGGACTGGAGAAAGACCCACACACCTGACCAGAGATGTGTCTTTTGGGAGAAAAAATGTTCAATGCATGGGGGAGGGGCTTCAGGAGGGAGGCTGTGCGTGCAGCGGCGAAGGGGAGGGAGGAAAGGGGGGAGTTCCATACAAAGGAGCTTTAACTGACCAGAGGGAAGGAGCAGATAACAGAGCTGGAGGCAGACAGCCGTCCCTGGAGAAGGGGCCAGAGGAAAAGCTCCCAAATCCCGTCTCAGAGCTCCGTCTTCTCTCAACAGCAAGACACTCCACCGTGGCCTCAACAATGGCCACCCCCTCAGCGGCCACCCAGGGACACCTCTGTGCCCAGCAGGGTCCTAGCACCATCAGCATGCCCATCACCACACCACCAGGACAGAACTCCAGGAAGATGCCCTCAAACAAGCCAGCAGAACTGCCAGAAAAGACAGGGAAGTCTTGTTCCTCGTCCAGGGCCCCCCAGGCCCGACAAGAAGTGTACGTTTCTGCGGGAAGTGAGATGTCTCCACGAGAAGACACCCCGACCACATTGCACTATTATTCTGAAAAAGATGACCCACATCTGACATCCTGTTCCCTGCACTCCTGACATTGTCACCAAGCAGGCTCCAGGCGAAGTCAAGAAGAAACCGCTGAGGAGGAGCAGGGGCTCTGAGGGACGCTCGAGGAGCGGCCTCGGTGACTAACACACACACCTGAGCACCCAGAAGTGCTGACGGTGCCCTTTCCATACTCAGCGGCAATCCTAGAAGAAAAGCCACCAGCTAATGAGGGAGGAGAGCAACCACTGGCCTAGCAAACAGCACCCGTTCTCCAAACACCTGCTTCTGAAACCAGGCATGACACTTGAGCATGAACCCCCGGGAGTAACTGCTCGCTGCGCCTGTCTCCAATGCACGTGCACACACCTGGGAGCACCTTGCTGCCTGGGCTCTGCCCTGTCCCGACCTGCAGGCCCCAGGCTCACACCCGTGTCAAGGGCAGGCCGTCTGCCACCAGACTTCCTGCAAGGCTGGGACAGGTGCAACCCAACCACCACCACGTGTGGCTGTTGACATTGAAATCTGGCAAAATTAAAGTAAAACTTACAATTCAGACCTCAGTGATACCAGCCTCTTTTTATAGTCGCAATAGTCACAAGTGGCTCGTGGCTGCCCTAGAGACAGATCCAGAACATTCCATCCTCACGAATGCTCCCTGGGACAGTGCAGACCACAGGTTCTCTCTAAGAATACCTATGTGTGTATGTTCAAGACTGACTTTTTCCCTTAAGGTTTACGAAATGTAACAAAACCTAAGCTGATAAAATATATCAGAAATACCGGGAGTTCTCAAATTCACTTCAAACAGAAAAAAAAAACACATAACTCTGGGGCTCTGACAAGAAGCTCAATTAAAGAAAATGCAAAAGGTCGGAGAGAAAAGCCACCACTTCCCGCCAGAAGTGCATCTCCCTCTCCCCTCCCCACCCCCGCCCCGCCCGCACGTACCTGAAACAGTCCAGCACCGACCCCACCACGTCATCCGCCAGCTCCTGGGGAAGCCTTCCAGCCACCCTGCCGATTCTGGAAGAGAAGGGCCAGGGCGTTCGTCAGCACCGCCAGCCCATCGTGGAGGCACACGCCAGGCCAGGAGCCGTCCAGCCACCTCCCTCCCTCCAGAGACGGGGACGCAGAGGCTGACCCAAAGCCAGAGGCACACACTGCACTCCACAGTCACCTGCCCCACAGGACTCCACGAGGCTGCCACAAACACACCTCTGTGCGCCTCTAAGGTCGGATGCAAAGGGTGGGCACGCAGCACCCAGCACCTGCAGACCCTCGCGCCTGGCGGGAGGCCCCACTTCCACTGTGGACGCCAACCACAGGCTCCCGCCAGGCTACCGATGTGGGACCAGCATCCCTGCACAGGCCCTGCCGGCCAGGCCCTGGCCAAGCTCCCCAGGAAGGGCCCTCGCTCCAGCCCATCCCAGTCCAACCGGACGTGACTTTGGACTCAGATGCTGCCCTGTGCCCCCTGCAGCCTGAGTGCTCGTGTATCTGGATGATCAGCACAGAAGCCCAGGGGAACCCCTGGGGGGAACCCCTCCCCCCCAGCATCCTCACTCCATTTTATGTTTCTCCACAACAGAGGGCTCATGGACGTCTTCACCTCTATTGTGTACTTGGTCCCCCAGTGCCCTCACCCCACGGTAGATTCTGCCTTGTGGGAGGCCTGGCCCTGCTGGGCAGCACCTTCTGTGTAGGCATAACAGAGGGTGCCGGCCAGCCCCATCCTGCAGACCCGGGGATTGAATGGGGCCTCGAGTGTCTGTGGGGGGTGGGGAACACCAGCGGGTGGGACAGGCACACTGGCATATACTAATTCTGCCCATTCTAGACAAAAAAAACCAAGGAAATAAAGGAGCCTCAAGTCAACCTCAGTGATTATCTTTAAAATTAGGACATAAAAAAACAAATGTAAATTAGAAAAAACCCCAGTTCTCAGATTCCACATGAAGTGCTGAATTAGGTGAGGGGTCTCGTTCACAAGCCGCCAGCCCCCACACCCAGCGCTCAGCGAGATGGCGTCACCTACCCTTTGGCCGCAGACCACCGCACGACCGTGTCCTTGTCCTTCAGCCCGACCAGCAGCTGCTCTGCAGAAGACAGGAAGGAAGGTCCGTGAGCGCCTGAGTCACTGCCTCGCCTCCCAGCTTCAGGCACCCAGCCCTCACATCACTGAGAGAGCACCATGGAGGGAATTGTGTTCATTCTAATGACAAGAAAAGCGCATTTCCTTCTCTGTTCTAACCATCTGAAGCCAACTTTTGCCATTGTGCCTCAGAAGCACATTCACCTGAGCGGCCCCAGGCACAAAGCACCAGGAAAGCCAGAGTCAACAGTGACCTGAGCCAGTGAGCAAGGCCCCCAGAAACACACAGGAGCCAGACGGGGACAGGGACTTGAGGATGGGCCCGACTTCAGGAAAAGCCATGCAAAGGCCGGACGGAAGGAGTGGGGATGGTGTCAGAGCCCTCACGGTAAGGGCCTTGCAAGCCCAGTGGGTGGAAACCTTGACGGAGGGCCCCAGGGAAGGCCTGCCGTGGAGGAGGAACAGGAGCCTGTGCAGGCGGACGAGCTCTCTGTGATGGGCAGTCTGGAACCTTGGGGGTGCGATCGGGGAGGAGGTGAGACACTGCCCTTCAGCACAGGGAGCCTGGAGCAGTGAATGCCAGAGTGGGAGCCCATCGGTGAGAGGCAGAGACTGACCAGGAGTCGGCAGAGGCTGGCCCTGCGTGTGGGGCCTGGCCATGAGGCAGGGGTGGGGAAGCAGGCTCTGCTGATGACTCTGCCTGTGTTCAGCAGGAACTGCCACCTGGGGTGAGAGTGGGGCAGGTGGAGAGCTCTGTGAGGTGGGAGTGGGCGGCTGGGGCCAAGGAAGCTGAGCTCGGAGCGCCAGGTGAGGCCTGGGAGTCTGATGTACACTGGGAGTGAGGTGGAAATGAAGGCCAACAGTGGTAGAATCTCAGGGTCCAGGACCCCAATGGCCACGGGTATGGATGTTCTCGTGGGGATGGGGATGGACTGCAGGCCACATGCTCAATGGACACAAAGAAGGTCATGTGACAATGGCACAAATGGGCAAGTGGGGGTGCAGCCAACAGACTGACCTCAGAGCCTCCACCAAAGCGCTGCAGGGAGCAAGTGGGGACAGAGCCTCGTCTCCCACCCGCCCCGACAGCCGCTCAGGCTGCAGGCCACACACCTATCACACTCTCCACCTCCTCAGGGACGTCATAGCCCTCCTCGCTGTCAGGGGTCTCGACAGGCGTCCGGGCCTCCCTCTGGCTCTGGGTGCTGGCCTGCAGGTTCGCAGCCAAGGAGCGGCAGCCACGCTGGTACCTGCAGGGACCACACTTGACCTTAGGCCCACTGTCATAGCTCAGAGCCTAGCAAACAATCTGGACAATGGAAATCGACAACTGAGTGTCACTTGGGATCTGCACCGAGACCACCAGGAAAAGATGACTAACCGTAGCCACAGAATCAGACCCAAACTCCCAAAGACTCAGAGTCCTCAGTGCCGGCTGTCACGTCTGCAGGTGGAAAGGCAGCCGGGCAGCCTTGGAACCGCCCACAGGCCTCATCCTCACTCACAGCTGGCAGCACCTTGCCACACGCTCCACCTCCCAGCCCCACATCACCCCGGCGCTCCAGCTAGTCCACTGCCCTCACCCACAGACACTGTCCTTCAGCACAGGGAGCCTATAGATTCTGTCCGCCACCCACAAGCCTCCTCCCAACCAGCAGAAGCCACCGGCACCATCTCCCGCCAGCACAGGCTGGTTCAGCTGTATGATTCTGCCCAGCTCTTGACTCTCTTGCTGCCTCAGTTTCCCCACCTATAAAATGCCCAACACAGAGGGCTGCAACAATGACAGATGAGAGGATGTGCACCAGGCACTCAGACCAGGGCCTTTCCTTCTGGAAGGTGGCAAGCACACAGGACCTGCCTCGAGGGTGGCTGGGACAGGCCTGGAGCATTAAGAGTGCCCAAGTCAAGTTACAGAACAAATGCTGGGGGCTGCAGCCTTAGGTCAACTCCAGAACCCAGGACTCGAACACCAGCTCGGACACTCAACTGTGGCCTTGAATGAGTCTCTTTCTGGATCTCGGTTTCCAACTTAGCAGGCAGCTCTCTGGGTGGCCCACCTCCAAACAGTCACACAATCCCCTCCCTGGGGTCCCCCGGACCCAGTGACTGGCTTTTGTGGGGACATAGCTCTGCGATGAGCCATGAAGAGACTCTGGCCTGTGTCCCGCTGACCCTCCCGCTCTAATAGCTGCCTTGAGAGAGGCCCCTGGGAGAAAACTGGGGGAGGAGCGCGCCTGCCCTAGCCGGGAGATGGCAGCAGCCCATCTCCACCTTCAGGAAGTCTTGTGAGAGCCCCAGACAAGATGGCTCAGCAAAGCTACACCCAGACTCCTGACCTGCAGAAAGGGTGATATGAAAAAGGCAATGTTTAAGCTGCTCAGCCTTAGGTTCTCTGTTATTCAGCTGTGATACTGTGATTTATAATAAATATACAGGGTGGGAAAAAGTAGGTTTACAGCTGTGGGTATGTGAAACAGCTGTCTTTTGTTAACTTTTGTATTCTTTTCCATATTAACTGTAAACCTATTTTTTATGTGTTTTATGTGTGTTCTTTTTTTTTTAATTTTTTTTAATGTCTGAAGTTTTACATTTGTCTTCTTTTTCCCCAATTGACTCTCCCCCCCATTCCCACCCCAGGCAAGCCCCCACCGCCTCAGTGCCTGTGTCCATTGGATATGCTAATATGCATTCACATAGTGCTCTGGCTGCTCTCTAACCCCCTTCTCCCCTACCATTTGTCTCTGGATCTATTCTTGTTCATCAAATTATGTTGATCATTATATCCCACATATGCGTGGGATCATGTGATATTTATCTTTCTCCGACTGGCTTATTTCGCTTAGCATAATGCTCTCCAGTTCCATCCATGCTGTTGCAAATGGTAAAAGTTCCTTCTTTTTTATAGCGGCATAGTATTCCATTGTGGAGATGTACCATATTTTTTATGTTTTTTATTTGAGAAATAGAAAGATTGATGTGAAAGAGAAATATCAACCGGCTGCCTCGTGCACACAGCCTATTGGGGATGGAGCCCCCAACCCTGACATGTGCCCTGACCAGGAATGAACCAGCAACCTTGTGGTGCATGGACCCATGCTCAACCTACTAAGCAACACCAGCCAGGACTGTAAACCTACTTTTGCCCTACCCTATGTATTGGGTTTTAGTCCATCTCTGGATTAAGCTGTCTTTTGTTATGTTAATGAGGTGGTTTTTAGAAAGCCCCTAAGGAAGGGGGCTGGTTGCCAGGGGAACCAACCACGTGGTTTGGAGGGTTAGGAGGGGAAAGGGACTGGAGGTTGAATCACTCCCCATTGGCTAATGATCTAATCAATTATGTCTGTGTAATGGGGCCTCCATAAAAACCCAAAAGAATGGGGTCTGGAAAGCTTCCGGGTTGGTGAACAGGAGGTGGTGCTGGGAGGTGACACCTGGTGAGGCATGGAAGTGCCACCCGTCCCACACCTGCCCTGTGCATCTCTTCACTTGGCTGTTCCTTTCAAAATCAGAAACACTCGAGAAGAAATGAAAGCAGAGGACACTCTACCAGTCAGTCTACTTCACCACCGCCACCAAAAACACAAAGCACGGGCCCCGCCAAGTGACGCTCAGGACACACACGGGCACGCCTTGGTCTACCAACCTCCACTTCGCCACCCTGGGTTTCAGGAAGGTCAGGCCCAGCCGCTGCACCAGCTTCACCCTGAGTTTCCGGAGCAGAGTCTGGTTGCTGTCAGGGATCCTGCAGCCGTCCAGGCACTTGAGAACAGTGGCAGCTGCGAACAACAGCACATGCGACTCAGTTTGGTGGAAGGATTTTACCCGCCCACTTCCAATGTGCAGCATCTGTGTTGGATGTCCACAGCATTTAAACCACAGACGATGGATGCCACAGGACCCCGAAGGCAGTGATGGCCTCAGTTCACAATGAACCCGAGCCCCATGTCATGAAGACCCCTTCGTCCCATGTCATTTACCAAGTGCAGCGAGAGTGAACCTGCTCAACTTTCTCCCGGTGAAGTAGCAGATCCAGAGGTTGGGAGAACAGAGCAGCCCGAGGGAGGGAGAGGGGCTCTTCTCCATAGAGAACAGCCTACGCTACAGACTACAAAACATGACGCACATGACTCTGGGGTTGCTGCTGTTTGCTGCTGTTTGACAGGGGAGCCAGCACCGGGCATGAGTGGTCACAGCAGCGGGGTGAGGCTGCCTGCCGGGAGGTCTCCACGGGCAGGGAAATGCTGCCAGGGCCGCTGGGGGGAATGAGGTGGACCTCGGGGGAAGCTGAGGCCACGACGGTGAATGGAATGGCATCTCATGTGAGAGACGAGGAGGGCAGGGTTTCACGACAAGTTGTAACAGCATCCGAGTAATTTCCTGAAAGGCCCAGTGTGCAGCCCTAACCGGGTGTAACTGACTGACTGAAAACAGACCCCTGCTGTGTACACAAGTCCACGGAGGACAGACAACATGTGAAGATGTTGGGCAATCACTGCTCCTTTTCTCAGGTGTGATAATACCAGGTTATGTCTTTGAAAGAGTCTCTGTCTGTTAGGGACACAGGTGCAGAGAGGCAGCAGAGGGTGGGTGAGGAGCAGAGCAGTCTGAAGCCTCGACAGGAATGTGGGGTTCACTGTACCTTCATTCTCTGACTGTATACGTGCTACAAAGTGTCCATGATGAAAACTCCTTTTAGAAAGTAGACTCTACTAGTCAAATCTGATTCCTCTATCTTCTAAAACACAGAAATCCCTCTGCGACCAGTAGCACTCCTCTCTGCAGCCTTATTTTTATAAGTTGAGGTTCTATATAAAATTAAGAGAATGAAGTAAAAGCACAAAAGATGTGGCCATATCTACAGGAAGAACACAGCTGTGACTGGGACCCCAGGAAGCGAGCCAAGTCACTGGAATCCAGACCCAGCGTCAGGAGCCCTGACCTCCTAGAAAAAGCCCAAAAGTCAGCTTATTCCCCCGAGGTCCACCTCATCCCCCCAGCGGCCCACACACACACACAAAGCAAAAAACTACAAACTAGGACAGTGTCCTGCTACAGCATGTGATAGATTTCTGCACCTGCAAATAACACGTTAAACAGATAAACTCCCATGGCAAACACACCCTCTTAAAAATGAGCCTTACCATAGGGTAAACAGTCATCACGTTTTCCATGCTTAAATATTTGTGCCTAAGAAAAAAAGAAGTTCTATTAAAATGTTGCAGATTCATTTACAAATTAAAAAAAAATCAAGACAATCCTCTGCTCCTTCCATAATTTCTCCTCTGACCACTCACCACCGAAAAGCCAGAGAGCAGTTTCTGAACTGATGAAAGGAGGAGTTACAGAGACGGGAGAAGAAAGCCTCCGCAAGGGCATCGTCAACAGGGGTGCGGTCACAGACGGGGGCTTCATCGGGACACGTGCCCGCACTGAAGTTATCAGGAGGAGAGTAAAGTGCCTCACTAGGCTTCTACGAGTACCTGTGCTTAAAGGCACCCAAGGACACAAGCTGAGGTCCAAGTGTCTCACACAAAGGTAGGACCCAAGGACTTGTGTCTGACGTCTCACCCATTCTCAGTCGATAAAGGCCTCTGGCATCGGGAGCAGAGACAAGATACCCCCGGGGCCCAGGCCTACCAGCCTTCCCACAGAATCCACACACACAAACAACGCTGCTGTTTTAAACCACAGGCTTGGGGTGACATAATGAATTCCCTACTTAGGGACCATGTGAGGTACTGAAATGTCACCCTGCAGGCAAGGGGGCTACTGCCTAATCCTGGACACAGTGACACCATCACATTCTAATTGGACAGACGGACACTGCGCAGTAAGGAGGGCACGTGGAAGGGGATGAAACTAAATGTGAGGCCTTTCCAGGAAAGCTCACGAGAGGCCTGAAGTAGGACGGAAAGTGTGCAGGGAAGGACGGGCAGATGCCCGATGGTTAGGGGAGAACTGACAGCACTGACTCCTGCTAAAGCACCTCTGGTCTCACTCACTAAGCAAGAATCTTAAGTGCTCTGAAATGCAAAACGCTCTCACAGGTGAACATTCTGTCTCCCTCTTTTTTTTAATCCTCAACCGAGGATATGTTTTTATTGATTTTGAGAGAGGGGGGAAGGGCGAGAAAGAAAGGAGGGGGAGAGAGAGATCGATGTGAGAAACATTGATTGATCTGTTGCTTCCTGAACGTGCCCTGACCAGGAATCGAACCTGCTTTTTTTTTTTTTTTTTTTTTTTTTTTTTTGGTGTACAGAATGACACTCAAACCAACTGAGCCAGCCACCCACCCAGAGCTAAACATTCTTTATTTGCCAAATTCCTGACATGAACAGACCAGGAGGGCAGAAGGGATGAAAAAGGAGGAACAAAAATCAATTAGGACAAGGACTTTGTTTTTGTTTGTGGGCGTTTTTCACCTAAAAATGGGGCCATCATCACTACCCTTCACCAGAGCGTGCTCCGAGACTATGAGCCTAGCACCAGGAGGAAGCGGTCCGACAGAAGGCACCAGACTGAGCCGCCTGCAGAAAGCACGCCCGTCAGAGGCCAAGGGCACCCGGCTGCGAGGAAGCAGCAGCACCACAGCTGAGAAATGCCCACACATCTGTTGTGTTTAGAAACCAGCACAGCTCAGGTGCAAACAGCATGAGTTTCCTGGTGATCATTCTAAACAACCACCCCTTTTGATTGCTACCCTCCCGCTTCCCCTCCCCGGGGCATGTTCGCCCGGCGGGTGAATCACAGTGTCAGCGGCTCAGGAGCAGGTCCATCCAGCTGCCAAGCAGGAGATGCTGGTCCGAGGTTCCCTGAAGCACCATCAAGTCAAGGCCAAGAAAAGCAGCTCCACCCCAGGCCCAGGGAGAAAGGGCCCACAGCACATAACTCATGGCGCCCGTGAATTCTCCTGTGAGGTGTGCACACTGGACCCCGCTGGGCACCTCACTGCCCTGTCCCTGGTCCCTCAGGAAGAGCTCAGAGCAGACAGGACAGAGCTTGGGCGGACGGGCTCCTGAGTCTCCTGTGTCTCACCCCAAAGCTGAGCGGTGGTACCAGGCCCTGTTGTGACAGTCGTGACACACAAAGAGGATGAAACAAACAGGAAGGACCGTCAGCACCCACAGCAACCAGCTCCAGGCTGGACGCCTTTTCAGGCATGGCCCATGGCCCTCACCTGTGGGAAGAGCCCACCCAGGCCACACCTTCCCTGCAGGGCAGCAAGGCTGAACTGGGGCCTTGTCCTTTACTAACAGCCAAAGCACTTTACACAGGATCCCAGCACTCCCGCCCGAGGCCCCTCCAGCTGTTCCAGGAGAGAACCTTCCACTACCACCCACTGCAGCCTGGAGCTCTGCTGACTTAAAAAAATGAAAGTGAGGGGCATCTCAAAGGGCCCCGCGCCGCCTCCCCAAGAAGTAACAGCAGACAGACACTGGACAGAGAGCACAGAGCCGTGGGGCAGCCAGTGAGCACCAAGCCTGGAAGGAGGGAAGAACCTCACCGCACAGCCCAGCCCACCCCAGCATCCTGGTTTGAGGCAGGGCTGGGGAGGAGGGAGAAGCGACAGAAAGCCAACAACTCTGAACACATGGGTGTGAAGCAGAGGTGCACAGGACCAAGGGGAGAAACAAGAACTGAGGGTCAAGGGTGAATCAGGGAGAAGCGTCAGCAGCCCACGGACAGGGCCTGAGGGACACCTGCAATCGGGCCAGGGAGGTCAGCAGGAACCATGCCCTTAGAAAGGCAGCCGCAGGCTGGTGGAAGCGGCATGGCGCCCCCAGGGCCTGCAGAGGAGGCCATGGGCCAGGAACAGGGGACACCAGCCACCAGGCCCTCTACGGGCTCCCCCATCAGAGAGGCCCCTTGCCCTCCAAGCCTGGGCCCGGCCAGGCTGCCTGTGAGCAGACACCTGTCCAGCAGGACACGTAGCCTCAGTACACAGCAGGTGTACAAACCCAGCCTGCCAGTGAATTAAAGGCGTGCCCCACAGCACACAGGTTTCAACAAGACTCATGCCACCCCCGTGCTGCCTGCTCCATGAAGAATGCTGAGTTACATAAAATTAAAATAGTGTCAGAGCTGGCTGCTCTGCGAGGATACCTCCTTTCACCCGAATTCTACATTTGCAAATAGTCAAATGGTTCTCAGCACATTCTCCTTCACCCAGAACCCTGCCCCAGGCTAGTGTTGTGACAAAGAAGCCCAATTTGGACAATGTGTCCTCTGGCCAAACTGAACCTTAAAGGAAACCATTGGGTGCTATTCTCCAAGGAACACTAAAAGGAATCAAAGCCGCCATGAGAACTGTTTTGGATAATCGAGTGGCTTCTTTTTATCTTCAAAGAACCAACATACAGTCATTAGCCTTCACACCACCCTCTGAGCTAAGAGGTTTGTTATTTCTCTTCTACAGGTGGGTGTGGAGCAAGGCCCTCACCTCTGCCTGGGGTCACTGGTGTTGCTACAGAGTCTCCAGGCTCCAGACTGGCCCACTTACATCAGCTCCTTGGGGCAGCCAAGTGCCCAGGGCAGAGCCACTGGAGGCTGGAGCTGGGCGGTCCAGGCTCCGGGGCAGCTGCTCCCACCTGGGCAGAGGCGATGGCCCTGCCCCTCAGTGCACTGGGGAGGCTGCAGGTGCTCTCGGCCTGTTGCTTACCAGGCTTTATATGTGGTTGTTTGCTACTGTTTCCCCTTTAACAAGAGGTAGCCTCTTGTCAATGATAAACAAACTCCTTGTGACGGGGAGATGCAATCCCAGCAGCTGGTGAACAGGAGAGCAGTCTGCGGCCTGGCTGGCAGCAGCAGCACTTCCCCTGGGAAGACCCTGGCTTCGGCAGGAGGCGTTCCCGCCCGCTCCCAGCCCTTGCAGGGTGCAGACAGAATCTCCCATCAGCAGCACCTCGCCTGGGAAGACCCTGGCTTCGGCAGTAGGCGTTCCCGCCCGCTCCCAGCCCTTGCAGGGTGCAGACAGGATCTCCCATCAGCAGTGCAAGCCGAGATGGCAGCCCCTCCACCAAGTGAGCACGGCCACAGCAGAGCCAAGTGACAGCCATTCTCGGTTTTAACGTTTGTTTTCCTCCCTTGAGATGGCAGCCCCTCCACCAAGTGAGCACGGCCACAGCAGAGCCAAGTGACAGCCATTCTCGGTTTTAACGTTTGTTTTCCTCCCTTGAATTTCCTCAGCTGGCATTAATCCTAACGTTTCGATGGGGACTAAAGCGAAGGTGCTTTAAAAGCTGGAGCAAAGGGCCTTGCAGTGCAATCAGGTTGCCAAACACTTGTTTCCCTCCCACAGGAGTTAAAAATCATCGCTGCAAGAGGCATGTGCTTCAAGGGAAATACAAGTTAACTCCTAGTTTCGATGGTACTTGTTACGAGTTCACCTGTTTCGCCTAACCCACACTAATGAACAGGTGGATAAAAACGAAGCCAAGTGCATCAAAGGGAACAGCTGAAATCCTGAAGCACAACACGCCTGCAAGTTTCATCATGCACAGCAGACGCCCGGCCTCTGCGGTTCAGGTCTGACGAGCTCATGGCGAAACCGCTCGCTCGCCCAGGAGAGCTCTGCGCTCGGCTTGGCTTCCTCATGCCCGGGTGGCAGCAACAGCAATTAGACCAAATTGCTCCTTCAATTAAAGAAAAGGAAACAGGACACAACCCAGAAAGACCCTAGACTTCCCAAAGGGGATGTGCCTGCCCTGCGGCCACTGCTTCCGGCAGTTTCATGCGTTCACTTCCCAGGAACTCCACGGCTGCGTCAGGCAATTGCTCACTCTCTCCAGCAGCTCGCCTCTCAGATGGCTGAGGTGCGGCCCACACGCCACCCAGTGCCCTGCCTGGGGAGGGGGCACACCTTCCTCATCCTTTGCCCACACAGGGGTGGGGGCAGAAGGCTGAGCTCCTTTAAGCCTTGAGGACGTCCTTTTATTCCTCAGGGACAGGAAACAGAGGACTTCCCTTCGCCTAAGTACGGAGCTCCGAGAGCCAAATAAAGCGCACTCCCCACCCCTGGCTGGGGGGGCCATGGGAGAGAATGCCAGCCCTCCCACAGCTGGAAGCAGGCTTGGTATTGCTGTTTAATGCCCAGGCCTGCCATTTGGGGATTAAAAACAATCAAACAGAAAATGGGGGAACTCTTGATGATCAACAAAAATGTGAGAAAAAAAGAAACCTGTGGACAAAGCAACTGCAGAAGTGGACAGAGTGGCCCCAGGACCTTCTCGAGCCAAGGAATATGCTTCAAGGGAAAGAAAGCTCCACTCCTAGTTTTCACAGTACTTGTCACAAGTTCACCTTTTCACCGAACCTACACTAATGATCAGGTGGATAAAAATAAAGCCGGAGCCAGGGACGAGGAAGCCATTGGGGCATTCTCACGGGGGCTGAGCACACAGGTCCCCCACCCCCACCCCCACTGCCTGGCACAGGGAACCTGCCTCCCTGCCTGCAGGTGCCTAGGGCGGTGCCACACTCGGTGGGTCTGCCAGCCTCCCCTGCAGGCCACAGTGGATTGACTGACAGGCTACACTTTGTCAGACCTTCCATGGTTTTTCCATGACCTAACACTTCTTAATGTGACTCATGCAAAAAAATTAGGACTCCACTTATACCCAAACCTTCAAATAAACCCTCTCAACCCCATCCACCCTCCTTCACCAGAATTATCTCCAACATAAATGCACTGCCCCAGGGTCCACGCCACAATGGTCCAGTGGGCACACGCCATGACCTGCACCACCCCTCCCTGCACTCCACACTGGGCGTCCTCCCAGGAGAGCCTCCCCCTGGCCCACTTCCATCACAGCAATTAAACCGAAAATCCCAGTAAAATCCTAACCACCACCACCCCCCAATGCGGCTGGAACGAGAGCTACCTGTGGCACAGGCAGTGTATCCGCCCAAGAACACCCGTGTTCATCCATACGACACATGTGCAGACAAAATTTTAAAGACCTCATAAACAAAAACATTTAAGTTATCACATTGTTTTTAGAAAACTATTGTTACCTACCCAAGAAAACTGAAGAGACACGCTCAAACACTTACATGCTCAAGTTCAGATTAGCATTAGCACAACCACAAGAGCTAAGATACCCCGAAGTGGACTATTATCTGGGCATGAACAGGAACGAAGCCCTGAAGGCACCATGTGGATGAGCCTGACAGCATCACAGTAACTAGAGGAGCCAGACCCCAAGGGTGCAGTGTGTGCTTCCATCTGTGAGGCGTCCAGAACCAACGAACCATGGTGGGGCTGAGGCAAGGCTGGGGGAGACTGCTGATGGGTGTGGAGTTTCCTTTAGGGGTGATGAGAATATTCTGGAATTAGATGTATAGTTCAGTGGCTCTACCATCACCACAACAGTTTCTTTCAAGTTGAAATAGAGCATACATCTATTCATAGAATGGACAAAAGCATGGAAAACACATTCCTTCAACAGGAATTCTGGAAATGTTTTATTTTTCCAGATTTTCTTTCTTTTTTTTTTAATTGATTTCAGAGAGGAAGGGAGAGGGAGAGAGAGGTAGAAACATCCATGATGAGAGAGAATCATGGATCGGCTGCCTCCTGCATGACCCACACTTAGGACCGAGCCCACAACCTGGGCACATGCCCTGACCGGGAATCGAACCATGACCTCCTGGTTCATAGGTCGGTGCTCAACCACTGAGCCACGCTGGCTGGGCCAGATTTTCTTTTTAAATGTCTCAAATATTCTCCTCATCTGAATGGCAATCCCTCCTGAAGACAATGGTAACAGGAAAGAAAAGAACAGGTGCCGAGAACATTTCTGAGACCAAGCGGTCAGCTCCCTCAGTGCCCAGAGCGTGGGGAGAAAGGGCTTTCCTCGCGAGGAGCCCGTGGCAGGCCAGCCATCACAGCTTACCTCCCACCTCCATGCCCACTGCCTGGGTTATTACACCATCGCCCCACTTTCCACCAGCCCTCTGGCCTCCTACACCTCATCAGAACCTGCAGCAGCCAACACCCAAGATCATGACATCACACTGAGTCACGGGTCCGAACACCTCCATTTAAACGCAGTCCAAAGTGTCCTGTTCTCCTGAAAGTGGGCCGTCGGCCTCTACAGCCTCACAGACAAGGGCAGGACCCACTTCACCCACTGCAATTACAGAGCAGGAGGTGGAGCGCACGAGAGCTGCAGAGGCTGTCCACTCCCTCGGGGGGCGGGGGGAGCCAGCCCGAGAGAGCGCTTCATGGCATGGGCAGCCCCTCTTCTATGGAACTTAAACTAGATCCTTCCTCGTTAGTTAGAAGCAGGACGGCCAGGAAAGCGTAGATGTAGGCTCTGTGTTTAACACCCTAACCTGAGTATCTGCAAAAACTAAGTTTTAAATCACCTGCCTGATTTCATTAGAGCCGTTCCAATAATTATACTCCCTTACAGCAGGAAACCCCAGATGGACACGCCCCTGTCAGCCCGCCCACCGGCCTGCTCGCCACAGCTCCTTGGGCACCACTGCCCCCTGGCGGCAACATGCAGGCTGACGCGGCCCATCTCCACTGGAGCAGAAAGCCCTCGCTGACAACCCATGGCCAGCCCTGGGCAGCCTGAAGGTCCAGTCCAAAGCAGCGAAAAAGGCACTCGGTTCACTGTCCTGTCAGGGCTGAATACCTTCCTATGTTCCAGCCACTTCAGAATGGAGTCAGGTCAACAGAACTCGTCCCCCTGTTTGGGCAGCTCCACAGCTGACCACTGACAACCCCTCCCCCAGGGCAGTGTTTACCAGGGCCTGCAGCATCCCGTCCATGGTGATGACGCCCTCGATGGTCTGGAAGGAGGAGCGGGCCAAAGTGCACAGGCTCCAGTCCAGGAAATCCGCCATCTTCTGTTTGACATCGGGCCGTGTGATAAACCTGCCAGAAGGGAACACAGGCAGGTAGCGGCTCAACCCAGGCCCAACCTAGGAGAACTCACCAACACCCCAATCTACGAAACGAAGACACTGCCCCAACTGTGGTCCTCAGGTAGCGATCTCCCCCCCCCCCCCAGACCTCTCTGCAGTCCCGCGCAGTCCCCACCACCCCCAGCTCCTCCCCACTGGCCTCCACTCATCCCGAGGCCCCATTCACCACGAGACTACCTTTGCCTACCCCCATGGCTGCCCTGGGCCCCATCAGTGTCCACTCCTCAGCCCTCCCTCCTCCCCGGAATGCCGTGCCCCCACATGCAAGGCCTGGCCCAGCAGCAGGCCCCGCAGGTCTCTCCCTGCATCTACCGTGGGTCTCCCTTCCCCATGACAGAGCTCCAGCTGGTGTCCATGGCCCCACATCCCTGACATCTGCTCAGCTCTACACCCTCCGCACTCAGATGGGTGTGCTGGCTCTCCCCCACCCTCTGTACACCTGGTCTGGGCTGGCAGCCATCCTCCAGCTCCCACACCAAGAACTCTATTCCTCCCCAGCCCATCCACACGCCAATCCCAGCTCTCTGACTCAGTGGCTCAGGCTGAGCCCCTGCCTCCTAGGGGAGCTTGCAGTCTGGGGGCAGAAACATAGGAAACAAGCAAATAACGTGAAGAAAACAGCTGAGTAAGGGGAGGGTGGGAGACAGTGCAGCCTCCAAGAAGTCCAGGGACATGTGACCAGAGAACGTCAGAAGGAGGCCTCTGTAAGGAGCCCCACAGAACACACGGGAGGGGTGGTTGGCCCTAACGACATGGAAGCACATGCTTGGGGTTCAGGCTTGATACCTGGTAGGGGGCTTGCAGGAAGCAGCCAATCAAGTTTGCCTTCTCACATCAGTGTTTCTCGCTCCCTTTCCCTTTCTCTCTCTCTCTAAAAATCAATAAACTATTTTTAAAAAGGAATATGTTTACAGGAGAGGTCCCAAAGACACAGATAAACAAAAATGGGAAAGATATCCACCCCACAGATAAAAATACACATTTATAGGAACAGATTCTTCTGCACAAAGATCTTTGAATCCTCTACTTCCTTCCCTTTCAGAAGTGATATCACAGCCCCACCTGCTCACACACCGAGCTCAGCCAACACGTGCGGGTATCTTAGAGATAAGCCCCAGAAGAACAACTAGAACGATTATCAGCAAAACCTTAACTACAGAACTAGACGTAGCAGAGGAACAAAGGATGCCTCGGCAAAGCATCCATGGGACAGACGGCCACTCCGGACCATCGTGGGCACTATGACCACACGCTGATAACTCAGTCAGCTGGTCTAAGAGGGCAACAGCACAGGTAAGGTGACAAGCCCTGTTCTGTGTAAGAACTTACTGTGGTTTTTCGTTTGTCTGTTTGTTTTTCACATCCGAGAATTTTATTGGACATGGCTCTGGGCCTGGCAGGCCCGGCTCATGGCCCCCCAGCTAGGGCTGGAGGACAGTGGTTCCATACAAAACAATCTCAGAGCACACAGTCACCCCACAAAGCGACACTCTAAAGATTATTATACCTGGGAGACAGGAGGGCTGCTCCACAGATGTGCAAACAGGTCAAATCTTTATAAATAAACATACAGTGAAACCGACAACTCAAATTCATCCCTATACACAGAGCACTCTACGGCAGGTAAATGGGTGGGGGTGGCCAGAAGCCACCATCCTCACTGGTCACGGGACCTGGATGGGTGGGGGCAACAGACGATAGGCACTATTGGGCATTTACAAGACCAACTACTTGGGCCCTAACTAGTTTGGCTCAGTGGATAGAGCGTCGGCCTGCAGACTGAAGGGTCCCAGGTCCGATTCCAGTCAAGGGCATGTACCTTGGTTGTGGGCACATCCCCAGAAGGCGTGTGCAGGAGGCAGCTGAATTGATGCTTCTCTCTCATCGATGTTTCTAACTCTCTATCCCTTTTCCTCTCCCTTCCTCTCTGTAAAAAATCAATAAAATATATATATTTTTAAAAAAGACCAACTACTTGGGGAGAGTGGGGGCAGCTGCCTGTGCATGTGTGTCAGGCTGTTCATTGTGGAATGAGGAGGGAGTGGTCTTTACAGCATATCCTGTGGCTGGTGGGCTTAGAGAGGAGCTACTTTGTGGAGAGGATGAGGGCGGCGATGAGACCGTAGAGACCCAGCACCTCTGCAAAAATGAGGATCAAGATCATGTCCACAAATAGTTTGGGCTGCTGGGCAGTGCCCCACAGGCCGGTGCCCCCACAATGCCAATGGCAAAGCCAGCTGCCAGCCCACTGAGGCCCACACTCAGGCCAGCGCCCAGTGGGAGGAAACTCCTGTAGAGACTGATGCCTTCACTCAGGGAGGTGGCGATAAGGACCGCCACCACCAGGAAACAGATGGCAATGATGCCAGCCGTGACCACTGGGACAATGGACTTCATGATCAGCTCTGGTCGCATGACGGACATGGCAGCAATGCCAGTGCCACTCTTAGCCGTACTATGGGCAGCAGCCAAGGTGCTGAAGACCATGGCGGCTGAGGCGCCCATGACCACGAAAAAGGAGGCATACTCGGGGCCGCCGCTCTTGACCTCGGACCTGTCTGTGAGGGGGGTGGGGGCAAGCTCAGAGGCCGAGGTGGGGGAGAACCAGCTGGGCGAGGCAGGAAGGCAGCTGGCAGCGAGTGCAAGGCGAGCAATCAGACGGCGGCTAAGGCTCAAACTTACTGTGTGTTTTTAAATAAATTTATGGAAAAGTGAAATATTCACAAAACAGTGCTAGAACAACTAAGTGGCCTGTGAGGGGAAAGATCGATCGTATAACCGTATACCAAAAGAAATTCTTGTACATTAAACAACAAAAAAGTAGAAAAACATAAATGACTACTTATAAAATTTGTTAATAAGACTTCAAGCTTAAAAGTAAAAATAACTAAAATAAAGGGAAAATTACTGTTTTGACTTTTTTTATGTTTTTATTGTGTATGTGTTTTTTTAAGAGAGAGGGAGAGAGGGAGAAAGAGAGAGAGAGAGAGAGAGAGAAACACTGATGTGAGAGCAGAACATCAATCATCGGCTACCTCCCACACTCACCCCAACCACAGATCGAACCTGCAACCCGGGTGGGAACTGAACCGGTGACCCATCAGTACACGGGATGACGCTCAACCAACTGAATCACACCAGCCAGGGCACCGTTTTGATATTAAAAGTAAAACTTTCGTCCAAAGGAGAAAGTAAAAGGCCACCAACCACCTAGGGTAACGAGCCCACCCACACCGGTAGGAAGCTCACGCTAGTGAAGAAGACAATGCACCAAGAAACCCACACACAGAAGTCAGGCCGCAAAGCAGGTAGGTGAAGCCTAAGACAAGAAACAGGTGTTGAACCTCACCCGCTACCAGCACCTGACACAGGGACAGAACGGGGCCATGTCACTGTGGTGACGCCGAGTGAGGTAACGCAGGATGCCAACTCAGTGAGACTGTGCGTGCATGGTCGATGCGTGCATGGGCAATGCCACAGCAGTGCAGACAAAGAAAAGAAATGCAACACAGGTACTGTGCATTAGAATTACAACTGTGTGTGGGGTTTTTCTAATTTTCTGTTCCAAAATTTCCAACTTTCCTATATACAGCTCAGATTGCTTTTATAATTAAACAAAAACATCTGCTTTTAAAATTGATGTAATCAATAGGAATAAAGTCATGTGTTTCCACTGACAAGTGTCTATAAAAGAAACTCAAATCTAAACGTCTTGGCATCCACAGAACATCAAGTCACATAAAACAGGTTCAGTTAGTAAAGAGAAACGGGAAGCTCCAGAACTACAAGTAGTGAAGGGAAAACATCTGACCTCATTAGACAGGCAGCTCCCTCTGCAAAATACCAGAAAATAAGTAGGCAGAGGAGAAAAGACACACACAGCCAGCCCTGCACACCCATCACCATGTTGAACAACCCACACACAAAAAAGACAGACAATGTGAATCAGAACCTGCCTGGGGCACGCGTGCTATGAGGTGAGTTAACCTAGAGCAGCTCGAAGCCCTCATCCAGTGACCACTCGCGCCCGTTCCAGGAAGCCTGAGAGCAGGGCTGCACTGCAGCCTGGCAAACTGGCTGGAGCATTTTAATGCGCTGAAAACCCGACCACAAGGAACACTTGCTCCTGTTGACCACCAGACGGCGAGGGAGAGTCCGTCAGTGGCTGAACCTGCCCCCATGCCAGGACTGAGTCTCTGCTGTCATCTTTCCCCTGGAGGCCACCAGGGAGGGAATAAAAGGTTTAGAGATTCACCTCCTCCACCCCACAGACTCAAAACTCCCCAAAGTCAGGCTCAGCACAAAACTACCAAACCCTCAGTAATTCTGGTAACAAATAAAAACATTTTTCATTCATAAAGTCACACACAGTATTGGTAAATATGGGGAAAAGGTGACTTTCAATTTGTTCAACCTTTCCAATAACATCATTTAAAACCCCTAAAACGCTCATTCCACTTCTAGGAACTCACCCTTAAGAATCAATCAGAACAGTACAAAGTTTTATGCAGGATGTGCATGTCGGTATTAATTTTACTAACCAAATGGTGGGATAGCAGCCCACATGGCCAACAGGAGGTTGGAGAAACCACACTCACATCATAACCATGAGGCAGAAGACTGAAGGGAGCTCCAGGCCTGTCGGCACCTGGTACGGACACGCATGGGCACCAACACGCCCGCAGACAAGCGCCCACACACAGTGGCAGGACAAAGGACAAAAGCAGTTCCATCTCAGGGAGATGGAAGTACATGTGAGTTCTATTTTGTACTTTGTGCTCTTCTTTATTTTCCGAAACACACGCGATCACTTTTACAATCAGAAATCAATATGCCGCCTTTCAGTCCTTGTCCAAGCCGTGGGGCCTCAATCTGGCAAGCGTCTCAGGCAGCTCACTCCTAAAATCGGCTTCTTCCGTTCAGGCTTCTTACGTTCTGTGGCTCAGCAAGTGCCTTCACAAATCTCTCTCCCAATGCCCCTAAGTGCCCTCTGAATTAAGTGTTTCACTTCCCACTTTGTGCAAGGAGGCCATGGCTGTAAGTATAAGGTGACCCGGAATCCCTGAATGAGGTGTGGCCCATTTCCCAATCAGAATATCCACACGTTTTTAGAGCCAATTTCCAACGTTCACGAATGTAGAGGAAACCCAAAAAAGCCAAGTTTTCTAATGTATTTTCTCTACACACATTTTACACCATGTCATACAAAAGATTAATTTAGAAAAACGGCATCTTTCCATCCTCACATGTCAGCTTCTGCACGCAGTGGGCCCACCGCCTGGGTCGGCTTACTCAGCTCATCAGACAGAGCCATCCTGCCTGTCTGAGGCTTGGCCCATTGTTTAGTTAACCTAGGTCAGTGATGGCGAACCTATGACACGCGTGTCAGAGGTGACACACGAACTCATTTTTTTGTTTGATTTTTCTTTGTTAAATGGCATTTAAATATATAAAATAAATATCAAAAATATACATCTTTGTTTTACTATGGTTGCAAAGATCAAAAAATTTCTATATGTGACACGGCACCAGAGTTAAGTTAGGGTTTTTCAAAATGCTGACACGCCGAGCTCAAAAGGTTCGCCATCACTGACCTAGGTGATTGGGGATTTTTATCCCAAGCCACAATGACCCAATCACAGCTCATGATCTGCAGTAAAATGCTTTCTAAGTGACTTTCAAAGGCGAGTCTAACTGCCACTCTATTCTATATCTGCCCCCTGCTCAGTTGATGGGCCTATCAGGTGGCCTCCTTGAACCCATAACCCAGTCTCAGGACTTCTGTAAGCCACTAACCCACAGTTGGGTGACCTGTGGGTCCTGACCCAGGATCTGATAACCTGTGAGCCCCAGCCCACTGTCAGGTGACCAATGAGCTCCTAGCTCATAACAGGTGACCTGTGAGACCCTAACCCAGCATCAGATGACCTGTGTGAGCCCCTAACTGGCACTGTCAGTGGTCATGAGGTTCACAGACCTCCCACACCCAAACAGAGCTGGTGCTCCCTCAAAGAAAGAGACAGAAACACCTCCCCAGGCCCGTCAACCCCATGGACAACACAGACACACAGGTAACACAGCATCCTATCCTATCTAATAAAAGGCTACTATGCAAAGTGTTCCCTTGGGAGTTCAACTGGCAGACCAGGAGTTGGATCGCTTGCTATGACATGAGCTGACCACGAGGGGGCAGCGCAGAACATGGCGGGCTACGGGCAGCGGAGGCAGGGCACTGAGGGAGCAAGGGAAGGAGGAAGCGGGGAGGCCAGGAGGCGGGGAACCACGCTGTGGTGGTGCCAGGAGGCGAGGGAAGGAGGTGGCGGGAAGGTGGGGAACCTGATCGGCCCTGATCACCGGCCAGGCCTAGGGACCCTACCCGTGCTCGAATTTCGTGCACTGGGCCTGTAGTGTAAGACAAACCCCTCAGAAGGCAGCAGTCACACATCCATCAACAGGGCCGCAGGAAGGCAATCGGGCACTTACTTGGACACGAGGACGGCAGCCGCGTCTCGGGCCTTGTCACTGACAACCAAGTAGGACTACAAGAAAGCATAAAGGAGAGGTGCCGTTACACACAGAATAAATCTCAGGAGGCTGCTCAGCCGGCCAGTCCTGCACTCAGGAGCTTCCCGAGAGCCCAATGCATGAAGCTCACAGGCAGAGGCCAAATGCCAAAGCTGCACAAACCTCTCTGAACTTGAACTAAAGCTGCAGCTGTCGAGTGCTGTGCTCACCTCAGGCGAGCGCCAAACCACACACGGTGTGTGTCATAGCCCTACAAAGACATTTGCAAAAATAGCAGAAAGATGAACCGTGTGTGTTACCCACCGTAACAATCAGTGTCCACAGAGCACACTTGGGGCCCTAGAGCATGAAGTATCAGGACAGTTAGGAGGCCTCATGCAAACAGAAGGGCCCCTGGGTCTAACACAAACGACTAGCTTTTCTTAGGAGGCCCGCCTGCAGAGGTTTCCAATTCTCATCTCAACTAACTTTTTTCCAAATAACACTCTTAAAAGAGCTTTTCTCTGAGGCAGGCTTTCTGGAGAACAACCGCACAGGGTGCCAAATGGTTAGCAATGTACCGCCCTCATCCGGCAATCCCACCGAGGACACAGCACACAGGGACCCCAAGGTGCTCACCACCACCTGCTGTGACCGAGCACACCTAGAAACAGTGTCCATCTGTGAGAGAGTATTTTAAAACTGGGTACAGTGGAGCACCTTTTTCCTTAAAGATTATGAGGGCGACATCTGACGTAAGACATTCGGGATGCGCTGCTGAAGCGGGCAGTGAGGAGCACCGTGAAAAGCAGAGGCTCCAGAGCCAAGCTGCCGGGGTTCAAAGGTGGATCCATGTATGAGAAAATGAGCCAGCTAAGTTACTTATCTTTATGCCTATTGTCTCCTCAGCAAAATGATTAAAACAGTGAACTGACTCATTAAGGATTAAATGAGTTCATATATGAAAAGCGATCAGCACAGTGTCTGCACACAATGGCGCTCAATGAATGCTTGGTATGAAAGTATGGCTGGCAGACTCTAAGGTGACCCCTGGTCCTGTCTGCGGGCACTTGCACCCTGTGTAATCCCTCCCAGATGGGTTAAAAGAATGTGTGGGGAGAGGTGGAGGTGGACATCACCCATGACAGTAACGCGTCACTGTGACTGCGTCCTGCCAGCAGAGCCTGGCCTTGCTGGCTTTGACAGAATAAGCTGCCTCGTTGGGGGACCATGCGGTAAGGAACAGCCAACAAAGAATTAAGGCCCCGAGGTTCTGATTTCTGCCACCAACCAGGAGAGCTCAGAAGCATACCCGCCCCAGGGGCCTGACTGTAACCAGGGGAGACCTCCAAGCAGAAGGCGGAGCAGCCACGCCCAGAATCCTGATCCACAGAATCTGAGATGACACACGTGTTAAACTACTCAAGTTTAGGGTAAGTCTTTAAGCAGCAGTAGATAAATAATATAATAATCTACATCTACATGCACAATATTTATATCAGATGTTTGAAGACTATATGCAAGTGTTATCTCCTGGCACTAGAATTTGAGAGACTGTATTATCTTTGATGCTTCTCTATTTTCTAGTTTTTCTACAATGATCACGTATTATCTTTTTATTTTTTTATTTTTTTTTCGCTTGACCTTTATTTTATCTTACCATTGCCACCTGAGACCTCTTATATGTCATTATGCTTAGAGTATTTGCAATATCTATAAAGAAATGAAATTTGCTAAAATAATTCATCCTGACCTCTATATGAATTACCACAATTTCCAAATAAGTAATGAAATTTTACTTCTGAAAAATAGTAACAGCAACTGCAGAAATATAGAAGTGTCAAGAGTGTACCTAATTAAACTCTAATATCAGGACAGCATGAGCACAAAAGAGCACTAACTATTGGTAATTACTAGTACAACCACACTCACCTGCGCTATTTGGAGAATACGGTCGGTTATGGACATTCGTGTTTGCCCGGGTTGGGTGTGAAGGTTCCCATCAAGGCGTGTAAAATCGAAAGGGATCAGGCAGGTCATGGAGAGCCACAGTAGAAGCATGTAGCGGGTCTCCCAAGTCTAAGGAGTTAAACCAAAATAAAATGATTCCTGTATAAAGGAGGGAGGTAACCCACACGCCGCGATCACAAACCTGGTACCCTCCCTGCCCACTCCAGGCCCCTCAAACACCACTGACTTGAGTCTGGGGTTCCGGCCATCGCTAGCTCCTCCCCTGACTTCCCTATACCCCACCACACCACACACACCCTCTTCATACAGACGTGGCTACCACAGCAGACCAAACAAACAGCAAAGTGGACAAAGGAAAACCATCACACATCAGTATGGCAGCTTTTCTTCACTGGCATGCTTCAGCATACAATCAGCCTTTTGAGAAAGTAGAAAGCACATAGAAACAGAAGACGAGAAAAAACTCTCAACTTCCCATCAAAGACAAGTGCCCAGAATTCAGCAGTCAGTGAAGCAAGACTCCACTTTGGTCCTGGAATCACCTTCTCTGCAAGAAGCAGAGGAGCCCGGTCAGGGCACATTCCTGGGTTGTGGGTTCAATCCCTGGTAGGGGGTGAGGCAGTCGATCGATGATTCTCATCAATGAAGTTTCTATCCCTCTCTCCCTCTCCCTTTCTCTCTCTGAAATCAATTTAAAATTTTTTTCTAAATATATTAAGAGAAAAAAATAAGCAGAAGACACCCTAACCGGTTTGGCTCAGTGGATAGAGCATTGGCCTGTGGACTGAAAGGTCCCAGGTTCAATTCCAGTCAAGGGCATGTACCTTGGTTGCGGGCACATCCCGAGTAGGAGGTGTGCAGGAAGCAGCTGATCGATGTTTCTAACTATCCCTCTCTCTTCCTCTCTGTAAAAAAATCAATAAAATATATTAAAATGTTTAAGTAAGGGGACTCGTTTCCCTCCCCACGTGGGAGTCTGAACTTGATCTTCAATAAATCTCCACCTTTGCTATACCGAAAAAATAAAATGTTTAAATAAATAAATAAAAAAGAAGCATAGGAGAGCGGGAAAGGCTCACCCAAGACTTCAACAGAAATGGGGCACATTCGCACTAAGACCTTTAAGCTGTGGTGGTAACTGTGGGCTCTTCTGAATGCAACGGGTACAAAAGTGCTCCCTCCACAGGCCTGGCTGCTCTCCTCAGAAAGGCTCGCGGACAGGGCAGCCACCATGCCCATCAGGGGGCCTGGATTTCATTAGAGTTCCCACCATTCCCTCACTGACAAGGGTGACTCACTGTGCCTAGAACAGGGGTGGGCAAACTTTTTGACTCGAGGGCCACAATGGGTTCTTAAACTGGACCGGAGGGCCGGAACAAAAGCATGGAGTGTTTGTGTGAACTAATATAAATTCAAAGTAAACATCATTACATAAAAGGGTACGGTCTTTTTTTTTTTTCGTTTTATTCATTTATTCATTTAGTTTGCCCACGGCTGATCTAGTTTTCTACAATGATCATGTATTGATTCTAGATTCTAGGCCCTAGATTGACTGCACAGACCATGAGGTTTATGCTGAACACCTGCTTTCCTCTGGGAGCCTGAGGTTGCAGTCCATGCTCAGCAGAGTACCTACAGACCAGCCTCCACAGAAACCACGGTTCTAGTCTCCATACCTTCCCTGGGGGACACTTCACACGTATGGTCACCACTCGGTGCTGGGGAATTACAGGTGTTCTGGGTGACCCATCCGGGGGAAGACTGGCATTCCACTGAGCATAATGCTTTCCACATAGGGATATTTCAAGTTAAAGAAAAGTGGGTGGTAACAGGGTTATCACCACACTGTGTAAGCGTATTTTCTTTATAAAAGGAATTATTTTTTTAAAAAAAAGATAATTTAAAGAAACGTAAAAAAAGAGAAAGCCAAAAGAATACAAGAGTGATACTAAACAGCATAGTAAGGTAAAACGTAAAGAGACAGGCAGATGATGGTGCCAGAGCAGGGGTGGAGCAAATAAGGGAAGAGGGAGGAGGGAGAGGAGAGAACATGAAGAGAAGGAGAGGGACACTCACTTCATGGTCCTTAGGATTCTGATTTGTAAACATGTCTAAAACAGGCTGCACGTCAGCTACTTCATGAGGAAACAAACGAAGAAATGTTTTATATCCTCGAACCTACCACATTAAAAAAAAAAAGGCATTGATTATATAATTAAGAAAATAAAGGAAAAAAATTATCTTTTTCCTCATCAAAAATTACCACCAAGCCCTGGCTGGTGTAGGTAGCTCAGTTGATTAGAGCAAAGTTACAGGTTGGATCCCCAGTCAGGGCACATACAAGAATCAACCAATGAGTGCATAAATAAGTGCACAACACACTGATGTTTCTCTCTCCCCTCTCCCACCTTCCTCTCTCTCTAATGTCAATAAATAAAGAGTGTGGCTCAGCAGGTGATCATCGACCCAGGAACCAAGAGGTCATGGGTTCGATTCCCTGTCAGGGCACATGCCCGGGTTATGGGCTCAATCCCCAGTGAGGGACATGCAAAAGACAGCCAATCAATGATTCTCATTATTGATGTTTCTATCTCTCTCTCCCTCTCCCTTCCTCTCTGAAATCAATAAAAATATATTTAAAAACAAAATAAAAATCAATAAAAACGAATCAATAAATAAAAGTAAAAAATCACCACCTATGGCACCCAGTGATCAAAGAAAATTATATCATATTACAGTGATACAACTTAGAAACACTCATCGAGCTACAGCGGCGTGTGCACCCTCGCTGGCCAAGTGCCTCTCTCCAGCATACAGCAGGCATGACTGCAACGTGCAGCCCACAGAACCACAAAGCCCACCCTGAGAGGCTCTACATCACTCCATGGTGAAAATGCAAACAGTAAGTGCAGGCCAGACACGGACATCACCCGGGAGCTTATTCGAATGCAGAATATCAGGTCCCACCCAGGCAGACTTATGAAGAACCTTCATTATAACAAGGTCCCCAGGAAAAGCACCTGTACATTAAAGTTTGAGAAGTACTTTCGTTTCCATGTTTGTTTGCTTTTTCCTTGTAAAAAACTTTTCTGAATCAGTCATCTCTATTTCTAGTTAGGTGGTACCTGATCTACTCAAATGCAAATGATAAATACCTTGGATATTGTTGTAGCCAAAAGAACCCCTGGATCACTAAATATGGGACCCCAAAAATATGGTAAAATGAGAAAATAGACCTTGCCGGTGTGGCTCAGTTGGTTGTGCATCCTCCCATGCACTGAAAGGTTGCTGGTTTGATTCCCATTTAGGGCACATGCCCTGGTTTCAGGCTCAGCCCCCGGTAAGGGGCATGCAGGAGGCACCTGATGGACACTTCGCTCTCACATCAATGCTTCTCTCTCTCTCTCCCTCTCCAAAACTCAATTACAAATCTTTTTTAAAAGCCCTAACTGGTTTGGCTCAGTGGATGGAGTGTCGGCCTGTGGACTGAAGGGTCCCAGGTTCGATTCCAGTCAAGGGCATGTACCTTGGTTGCAGGCACATCCTCAGTAGGGGGTGTGTAGGAGGCAGCTGATCGATGTTTCTCTCTCATCGATGTTTCTAACTCTCTATCCCTCTCCCTTTCTCTCTGTAAAAAATCAATAAAATATGTATTTTAAAAAATCTTTAAAAAATAAAAAAGGGAGAGAGAAAATAAAACCCACAATTTATGTGTGAAAACCATCTTTTCCAAGAAAAAACATTTTTGGAAGGTAACTTCTGGACCAGGTATATTAAGAAAGTGTTGTCAAAAGAAGAAAAAACAAAATTTAAAAAGTGTTCTGTCAACTATAAATGCAAAGTAAATGTTACCTTGGTGATGATGTAAAGAAATTTAAAAGCCAGATGTACGAGGTCAACTGGAGATGTCTTATCTTGCACTATGTCCAACAACAAGTTCATCATCCATTCTAGAGAAAAAGAGACACAAAACATTTGCTATAAAATTAAACATTAATATGACATTAAAACAAAATGCCAAAAGAAAAAAGGGTTAATTTAGGCAAATTACAGAGCAAAAACTGACAACTGAAAGGAGAACCTGACAAACCTGTAACTATAGTTAACCCCTAGAGTGCCGGGAGCGCTATCAAAGCTTCGAAATGGCGTCCAGTTCTAAGTCTGCTTTTATTAGTGATGATGATATTGCTAAATATGTCAATGTAGTAAAGGTTTCCTTAAGTTTTTGAATATGTAACTTCATTTACTTGCGATTCATAATTTTTTTCCTAAACTGCTGTAAAATCTGCAAAAATGCCTTGGCAACTTTAGCATAGTTCCTAGGATATTGGTTGGCATTCAAAGGGTAAAGATTTCTACACTCCTCTCAGAATTGATAGAACAAGTGAGAAGAAAAATCAGTAAGGACATGATCAACTCAACAGATGCAGAAAATGCATCTGACAAAATTCCGCATCATTTTATAATAAAAAGTCTCAACAAAGTGGGAATAGAGGGAACATATCTCAACATCGTAAAGGCCATATATGACAAGCCCATAGCTAATATCTCCCCCAGCCAGGTTATCAACCAAGGAGTAGTCTCCCGCCTGCGAGAGGAGAGTTCAGAAAGCTTACCTTCTACAAAACCTGTCCGTTACTTGAAGAACAGCACCAGCCCACTTTTCAGAAGTCACATGTGTGCACAAAGCTAACTCTTCCTGCCTACACATTCCCGGTTCACATCTTTACACCTCACAACCCTGCTAACAAGTAAGACCCAGGCACTTCATCCTGACACCCTCTGCTGGCAAGCACGCATACACACGCGCAAGCATGCACATACACACACGCACAAGCATGTGCACACACGCACACAAACACGCACAAGCATGCACATACACACGCGCACACACATGTGCACACACGCGCACACGCATGCACACTCACAAGCATGCACATACACACACGCACAAGCATGTGCACACACGCACACAAGCATGCACACGTGAACAAGCATGCACACACGCACACAAGCATGCATACACACGCACAAGCATGCGCACACACAAGCACACAAGCCCGCACTCACAGCAAAGCTTTGTGGTCATCAGGAACTGGATGACCACAATCAGTCAGCAGCCTGTTCTTACCAAGGTGTGGGTCCAACAGGTGAGGCTGCTGCTGGTATTTGTCCATTATCACTAGAGAGATGAATGTGAGAATTAATATCTCCAAGACGAACATGCCCAGGAGCCTCAGAACCTCCAGTTTTCCTCCTCAGCCCCAGCCCATGCAGCTCCCAGGCCGCGGGACACCAGGGTGAGCACCTCGGGGCCACTGCGTCCGGCCGGCCTCCTTTCCTGGCCCGCTGGGCACACCTTCCTCCCGGGCCTCTTCCCCCTCCTCAGACCTTCTCCAGCCCGGCTGTTCTCCCTTCATTACACACACACCTTCCGCTCCTTTAATGCCCCTCCAGCATCCCCAGCAAGGTGCCGCCCGCTGCGCCATCCGGCAGATCTATCCCCGCCCCCTGCACACCGGGCGGCCTGGTGTCCACTCCTCCCGGGCGCTGCAGTGGCCCCTCGCCTATGGCAGTTCTCACCTGCCACGCGCCTCCACGTGACCACTCGCCAGGAATGGGAGGTGGGCTTTCCCCGGCCCCTGGACACCCCCCTCCCGCTCCAGACAGTTCTGTCTGCAGGTCCTGTTAGTGCCGACCCCGCTGACAGCCAGACTCGGCCCGGGCACTGGGTCCCTGGTGTGAATCCTCCAGGGACCAGGTGCCCAAGCACATGCTGCTCCCACGCAGCCGGCCACAGAGCCCCGCGCGAACTCAGAGGCCCACAAACGTGGTTTTACTGAATCACAAAACCCTAGGTCACGAGCTCTGGGGTCCTGAGGAATCGATTCATTACCCGATACAGACAAAGCCGCAGACCCGGAGAACTTACACCAGCCAGGGCCCCCCCATGAGCGCGGCCCGCACCCCACGCTCCCGGGAGCGAGGCCCCCGCACGGCACAGCCGGGCCTGTGGTCTGGGGTGTCCCCGGGACGCCACGCAGCCTGGTCCTGCGCCTTCCGGGACAGGAGCCACATTCTGCGCTGACCTGAGCTCAGGGACAGCAGGCGGAGTCGGAGAAAAGACCCAAGAGGTACCGGCCAGGCTTCCCTCGGACCAAGAAGTCAAGGTTCAACGCCGGG